GTCAAAAGTTCCTGGCTGCTCCCGCAGGTCTTTGGGGGCCCGAAGATCCTCCAAGCTCTTGGCCTGGCCCAGTGGCTGCAGGGGGGCCTCCATGTCCAGGTTGTTGAAGACGTCTTCCAGGAGGTCGATGCTGGCAGCCCGGTCAGGTGGAGCTGGGACAGGACCCCTGGGTTCCCGTGCTGGCTGTTCTGGACTCTCTGCCTCATCTCCTGCACTGTCTGACTCCTTGAGTGTCCGATATGGCTGCGGCCTGAAAGGAGACAGAGTGCGCTGGACTCTTCCTCTCCCACCCAGGGTGTCCATGGGAAGAGCAGTCAGTTCCCAGACCCTAAAAGCACCAAGGCCTGCAGGACCATGCCTGGGAACCACTGGGACAGGAGAGTCTTGGGGCTCCATGTGGGCTGGGGCCAGGCAGCAGCAAGGGGGCAAGCTTGTGGTCTGAGCCACCTGGGGGTAAATTTGGCTCTGCTGCTTGCTCTGTGGCCTGGCTCTCCTTGCACAGCAGAGGTCCACTTAGTTCTCCCTGTGTGTTTTCATATATTGGGCTACAAGAAAAGGGCAGGACTGGAAGAGGAATCTGTAGGTTCCCCATCCTGCTCCTTCATTGGTGACTGACAAGTAGCTACAGAATTGGCTGTGAATGGATTATGGGGAGCAGACCTGGAGAAAATCAAGAGGGCAGCTGTCTACACTGCCCTGGGATCCTCAGAGGGACTATGCGGGCCTTGGCTTGTATTGGGCTCAGTTCCAGTTCTGGTCATGCCATCTCTTGTGGGAAGTTGGGCAAGTCACTTAAACATTCTGAGCCTCATCTTCTCAGGTGGTAGTGGTGACTACATGAGCAAATGCAGTGCCTGGCATATAGAAGGTATGCAGAAGCTGGTGACAACCCACCAGTGAGTGCTGCTATCACCAGGGCTTGTACTGACAGCTTTCTGTATACTTGCATATTGGAAGTTGCAAGCAAGCCAGGTTCCTTTCATCTTCTTTCCCATGATCTGATCCCAGGGCATCAGTGGGTACACTAGAAGTCAGCACATGGGTAAACCCTTACTTAGCACCCCTGGCCAGAGCAGTGTCCTGCCTCCTCTAACTACAAGGCGGGGGGCTAACTGAGGCCCTTGGTTAGGCAGGACTGGGCTCAGATATCAAGTGGAAGGAGGGCGCCACCTGCTGGTCAAGAGTAGGTTCAAAGAAGAAGCCAGGCAGGGATAGTCCCTGGAGGGCTCAACAAATAGACCCAACTGTTGGCAGGGATCCCATCAGATTGTAAGCCCTCACTAACTCAATGAAGCAACCCATGAAGCAGGACTTACACCCCCACCCTGGAGATGAGGGAATGGAAGCTTAGAGAAGTGAAATAACTCACTGTATCTCACAGCACCAAGCCAGAGGTAGAAAGGAAGCCAAGTTTGAGAAACTCCAAAAGTCCTTCCCTCACTCAGGCCAAGTCATCTGATCAAGGAATTAGAGACTCTCTAATCAAGTTTGGACACAGTGAAAAGGATAAAGAAAAGTCCATGTGCTTCCTAAACTTGAAGAAATAGTGTCTTTTTGACCAATATTTTGTTTTGAGTTAGGATGAGCTAGTTCCTTTTTAAACACACACACAAAGGCCTGTACTGACCTGAAGTCATGGGCTAAAGAAATGAGCATTAACCATTATTTCAATAATGTTGGCATTAAAGAGAATGTGATGGGGTAGGACATGGACTCAACATGCTGGACCAGTGGTGGGAGAGCCCCTGGGTTGTCCCCAGGCGGGCCGCCTTCTCCTCCAAATAATTGTGTGTGTGTGTGTGTGTGGTGCTGGGGATTAAACCCAGGGCCTTGTACATGTGTGGCAAGCAACTGAGCTGTATCCCCAGACCCCTCCAAGGTGATTTTAAAGTTGATACCTGGATGTACATTTCCTATTCCAATGGTTCTATCTTGATTCAAATTAACATTAGAAATAATAGCCTATGTTATTATAGATATTGTTTAAGACGAGGCTAATTCTTAAGGCATTTAGAAGAAAAATTTTAAAAAAGATTCATGTACAGAAAAGGTGGTCTTTGAAGTTTGGGCAATACTGGCTCAGGTGGCCACTTTTTAAGTGAGGACTCTGGAAGAAGTTGTTCTGCCTGTGATCACAGGTGAGTTGGTGACTGGAAAGGTCCAAGGCACCTACTCCATGGGGCAGTGGCAGGAGGCACTTTAAAGTCCCTGGAATAATCCACAGGCCCAGCCCGGGGAGAAGGACTTGACACTGGGGACTTCTGCTGGGGTTTGGGAAAAGGGGCAGTGAGGGGGATGGAGGGAGAAAAGGCTCACTTTGCAAAATGGCCAAGCAGCCCACTTCCTGGAAGGCTGTGGACACGTGGACACACAGCAAAGGCCATTCCCATCCTTAAAAGCTCCCAATGAAAACACTCATACAACCTTGTTAAATAAAAACAGACAATGGACATCACTATGCTCAGTCCCAGCTCTTGTGGGTGGAGGGACAAGAAATGGCAAAGGGGGCACTACAAAAAAATTAATTTTGGGGTAGATGAACCTTCTGAACTCTCTCTTTCTCTCTTTCTGGAATTGAATTCAGAGATACTCTACCACTGAGCTACATCCCCAGCCCACTTTTTTTATTTTGAGACAGGATCTCGCTAAGTTACTGAGGGTCTCATAAGTTGCCCAGGCTGGCTTCAAACTTGTGATCCTCCTGCCTCAGCCTCCCGAGCAGCTGGGATTACAGGAGTGTGCCATGCACCTGGCTCTTGTTTTATTTTAGTTTTTGAAGGTAGATTTTACAAAAAAAAAGCTATTTGTAATTAGTATGATATTTATGTTATAAACAATAATGTTAAAAATGTCTTTAAAAAGTCAGGTAGAGGGTGTGGTTTAGTGCTTGTGTAGCAAGGTCCTAGGTGCCATCCCCAGTATGGGAAAAAAAAAAAAGGTGGATCAGAACATTTGGATATGCTGGTATTTATAATGCATTTCATATTATTTACTTTTTTTTGAAACTTAAAATCTGACTTCCTATCTCCATGGCTTTTCAAGATGTGCTGAGATAAGGAAGACTCAGGGATCAGCAACCAGGCTCATTGTGACCACCAGTTTCATTAACAAGCAATTTCATTTTCCCCTTATAAGGAATGGGGATGTTCCTGCATTACCTGACGCCTCCTTCCGCTGTCACAGTCCCAGTGGGGCTGGCAGAATGGATGCCCTGAGAAGAGGCCCATGGAAGTGGCGCCCACTCTGTAAGTTGGCCCTGGAGCAGTTGGCACGCAGCAGCTCCAAGCCCCCCTCCCCCCACACAAGAGCAAGCACAACAGTCCCCCTATGCCCCCATGCAGCCCCAAGAGTCACCAAGCTGAGCCTGGGGAACTGGAAGAAGGAAGGAGAGACCATTCAAAGGGAGCAGAGAAGAAAAAGCTTTCGGTGAAGCCAGCGCTTGGGGCCTCTTCCCGCTGGCATTCATCGTCAGAGGAGTCCTCGGAGAGGAAGACTGCATAGTGTCGCAAGGGCTTTACCAGGCTGGGGCAGAGGAAGACAAGAGAGAAGAGAACAGGCAGTTAGGGACAAGTTAGAACTCCATGTGGCAGGTGAAAGGAAAAGGCCAGGGGCATGGGGCCCGACAGGCACCAAGGTGAGGAGGCTGGTCCCAAGCAAAAAAGAAACTGGGTTTCCCATATGTGTCAAGAGCCTTAACTTGTGATCAGTCATCTGTGACCAAGTCATCCCACTTCTGCTGAGGTAACCTGAAATGTAACGAAGAATTTCACCCAACATGGTCACCACTGCTCTGTTTATAATATGAAAACATGAAAGCCCCCAAATTCTCCACAATAGGAATCTGGAACAGTTGGCTTAACATCTTCCTCCTATTAAACTTAATGTTTATTAAGGAACATTTAAAAGTCAATGCAGAATTGCAATTTTTACGGTTGGCCCTACATTATCTGTAGGTTCCACATCAGCAGATTCAACCAACTGCAGCTACAAAAATTTGGAAAAAAAAAAAAAACCTGTCTGTACTGAATATACACAACTTTTTTTCTTGTCATATTATTCCCTAAACAATATGGCGTAACAATTACTTGTCTAACATTTACCCTAGATTGGATATAGTAAATACTCTAGCACGGGGGAGGGTTGGACAGGCTCTATGTGAACATTATGCCATTTTGTATAAGGAACTTGAGCATCTCTGGGTTTTGGTATCTGGAACCAATTCCCAGAGGACACCGAGGGACGGCTGTACTGCGTGCTCTCTCATCTCCTTATGGAAAAATGCACAGAAAACAGACTGGAGAGGTAAGTGCTTAAATGTCAATAATAGCTTGTGGGATTATGGGTGATCCCCCTCCTGCTTCTTATTTTTTTACAATGAGTATATCTACTTCAATAATCAGGGAAAAAATGAAAAATAAAAAAAGAAGTGAAAAGAAAAAAGTGAGCCACGCGGAAGAGCCCTCGAGAGAAAACCCTTTTCTGATTAGCGCTGCTCTCTGGAGTCTCCCTCGGATGCTTCTTCAGAGAGTCTTTTTCATCTGTGATGTGGAAATTAAATATTCATCGTTATAAAAAATACATCTCCCTTGTCAGCCACCTGTGAGCTCTACCTCTATAAACAAACACACACGCAGCCCAGAGAAATGCCACGCCGGGCTCCTATGAATTATATACTGACCAGGCCCAAGAGAGGCGGGTGCTGGGAAAGGGGAGCGGGACCTGGAGGACCGAGGTTCAAACCCCATTCTGCCGCAGCTGCTGCTCTAGCCATGTGCCGGGGCTCCATGTTCCAGGTCTGCCCCACTCTGTGGGCTGGGCTTGCTCGGAGGATTCCTGGGAGGCGATGGTGAAGTTTGGGATGCATGGAGAGAGGGTGCTGAGCAGAGCTTGCTCCTCTTCCTTCACTCCAGCCAAAGCAGTGTCTTCTTGCACTTTACATGATGGCATGGGTCCCTTTAAGGTTTTATTTCAGGAAGGGTAACCTGTCTAAGACAAGCATGTGAGAACTACAGCCGGAGGGTAAAGGAGGGGCGGTAGCTGTCCAGGCGAGTGCTGGGACTGGGCTGTGCTGCGACCCACCATCGCTGGTGCTAATCTGGTTGTCATTCAAAGCCACCAAGCCTTTCAGCTCTGTGCCCTCATTTCTTCTTATCACCCCTGCAGGCCGGCTGGGTAGAGTTTTGTCCTTAAACTGAAGTGGAGGTTGAAGCTTAACAAGGGAAGCTGCTAGCCCAGGGTCAGACACCAGGAAGGGGCAGGTCACGCTGTTCGGCTCCCCTAAGCTCCCAGGCCACTCCATGGCTGAGAGGGATGGGACACACATTGGCCATTCCTAGACTATAGTGGGTATCACCTGGGAGAGTACTTTGCTGTGGTCTCAGTGGAGAGGGCAGGAGGAGGACCTGGCTGGCAGAAGCATGAACAGACCAGCCTTGGAGCACCCCAGCTCCATAGCGAATGCACATAGCAGAAGGGCCACCTTCACTTGGTCACCAGAGCCCTGCTGTGAATTGCTGTCCCTGTATCTCTTTCTCAGAAACCTGCAAATCTGCCATTCTGAACTACAATTTTGCTGTAATGAGTTATGTGGTAAATTCATTGAATGAAAATATTCAGACATTTGCAGGATGCTCTGTTTAAAAATTAGGGGACCCGTTCTTTCTCCCCATATAGCACTGCTCCTGGGCAGGCGAGGGTAAGGGGGAAGCAGGCCTCCTCACTCTGGGTGGCTTGTGGAAGGTGCTGGGTGTATGTGGGTGAGGGCTGCCTTAGGCAGTGCCAAGTCCTGGCTCCATGCAGGGGAGGTCAGTGCATGTGGCCTTGCCCACCCCTGTGGCCCCCTCTGCCCTCCCAGCATACTTCAACTGACTTCCCATTTCTGAGTCATGTGCCCTTTGTCACTAGGCCCTTCTGTCTCCACATGGTGCACTGATCTTCCATCTTGAAGACTCAGCCCAAATGGCAGCCCCTGGAAGCTCCCTGGAGTTCCCAGCTGAGTTTTCTCCTTAGACAGAGTTAGTTCTCCCTGGCTGCGCATCTTGCTGCTTCATAGATAGTATTTAATCTCCAGTAATTCTGGGTCAAATGGAATGAGGTTCTCAGGTGGCCCTTGAATCCACTGTGAATGCCTTTCTAACACCCACCTGAGCAAGGCCCCTCCTCTGACTTTGACAGGAAAGCACAGATCACAGACTGGTATGTCAGCTGAAGGCCACTAAACCTGCCAGGAATTTCTGGATTCACAGAAGAACAAAGTCCTTTGTGCTGGACGGGTCTTGGCATCACCGTTAAGTCAGGCTGCTGCTGTGTAGGTCATAGTCAAGATCCGGTGTCTCTGGCACAGGTATGAGTGAGGAGCAGGAGGAGAGGGAGCCTCGCTTTCCAGCCCACTAAGCAGCTTCTTCCTGCAGCTGGCTTTCTTGCTGGGCCAGACTGGTGGGGCAGTGGCTTTGACAAGTGGCTCAGGGTGTCTCTGGAGGAGACTACTCTCTCAAGAGCAACAAGGCACCTGGATGAACCTTACCATGTGATTTGGACAGGTCAGAGCTTTGTCATGTCCAGGATACATGGATGACCACATTGACCCTAGAAGAATTCATAAGCCAAATGCTATGCATACAATTTTTCACTAATTCCTTATGACAAAGAAGTCAAGGCCCAGAGATGGGGAGCTCCTTATTGGAGTCACACAGCAGCTGAAGGCAGAGTTGGGAACTGAATCTGGATTTGCTTGACTCTAAACCACTGTGGGGTCTTCCTACCTCTTCAGTTTCCCAGATCTGAAACAATGCAGTGAGAGGTAGGGTATTTCCCCTTCTACTTTTAATGAAAGGTAAGATTTCAAAATAAACTTATTTAAATTCAGCTGCTCATGTTCCCCCCTGAAACATACAGTCAGATATTTGTCAGAGATAAAGGATGAACCATTGAAAACGTCCAGGTTTAAATTTTTTATTAGCTTAAGGCAGAATATGGAAAAAAAAAAGTGTACCTCTTTCCTCATTAACCCAATTCAGCTACTACCGTGCAGGCTGCCACCCACCACTTGCCTGGATTTTATTACACACAAAGGGCTTCTATGAAAAGGCAGGTCACAGCGAACTCGGCTCCCCAGCGAGGGCTGCTGATGTCTCAGCGCAAAAGAAAAGCCCGCTGTCCATCAGTGCTCGGACCCCAGCGGCCCCCACAGCTGCCCCCGCCTCTGCCCACAGCGCTGGCGCAGAGTTCCCATGCAGATGACTCCTGAGCCCTTTCTAATGTTTGGTTTAACGTGTCGCCAGTTAGCACGCGCGTGTGACAGTGGTGACAGGCGAGGCTGTTCCTTTTTAAATACCATGTCAGAGACACGGCGTCAGGAAGCGGGGAGGCGCTCTGTGCTCTCTGCTGCACCCGGATCGCACTGGCTTATTTTTTAATGAGGAAGATCTGCATCTCGAGAGTTTTTTTCATGTGTCACATCGCGTGGACAAATCAGCAGCACGTCACGCTGGCCCAAAATGAAATGCTGACAAATGTAGATATTTCAAATTTAATTGACATTTAAATGTACTTGAGATAAAGATGGGAAGAAATCAGCCAGGACTCGGTCTCTGGAGGTAATGAAGGGGAGCTAGTGATCATTTTTTAAAGGATCGTTTCACTCCAGCACAAAGTGTCTTCATATTGTAAATGGCTTGGCCACTCATCACCCCTTGGTGACATGGCCCTGGTGGGGTGATGAGCAGGGACAGGCCATAGGATGAGGCCAGGTTCTGTCTGCCCAGCCAATGCCAGCCCGTCCACTTTTCATTCCTTCTTATCCAGGGTACCTTGGAAAAGTCACTTTACCTTCCTGGACCCCAATTGCTTCTCTGTGAAATGGAGTTTTCGGCTCTTTTGAAAGATGAACTGTAAAAGTCAAATGAAAATACTTGCAGAGGGCCTAGCAGAGTGCTTCGTGCAAAGCAAACACTCACTTTCCACCCATGTGACATGTTTACCTGCTAACCAACGGATGCTGGGTACTGGTGGTCCCTGCCTTCCAGGGCCAAGTTGGTCCTCAGCTGGGCACATCAGCACATGGCAATTATCTGTGAAGCCTTGTCTGGAAATTCTGTTGGCTTTTTTCCAGGACTGTGATACAGGGCTGGTGCTCCAGACCACACCCTTAGTGGTAAGTAAAAGAATAGAAAAAGGCTCTGAAGTAATACTGAAGGTCTTTGGAGGAACCAGCATGGCTCAGGACCCAGAGGAAGCTCTGGACTGGGACTAAAGCTCCTTCCTGAGTGGCCCAGTGTAAGAGCTGGGGCTTTTGTGCAGAGGATCTTGGCCCAGGCTCCCCAGGAAGGCAGTGTGGGTGCTGAGCTTTTCATCCTGAGCATGTAGTAGCTGCTCAATGGCCCAGAGGTGGCTATGAGGAGCAGCAAGGGAGGTGATTTCAGGCTGGACAGTTCAGAGAAGAGGCTGGATGGGTTGGAAGGGCAGGTGGTGGGGGCCTTGGATTGGCACAAGGACTGAGAGTCCTGGGCAAGGCTGGGTGACATGAGGCCTCAGGGTGGCAGGCAGTTGAACAGAAAACCATACTGGCCGGATGTCCTGGGTTATGCCTTTTGGACTTTCACTGGTGCATCTGATGAATTATTTCTCCCTTACATGTTCATTCATTCAACAATAGTCACTAACCCCCGTCTTGCAGTTCCAGATCTATGCCCCAACATGTCTTGAGAAGTACTTCCAAGCCACGGGTGGACAGTCACACAGGGAGAGGTCTGAGCACAGCACATGGACTCTGCTCCTCTGACCACACTCTAGGCTGTGCTGGAAGGAAGGTAGGGATGGGGACACCTTCGGGGTGCTTTCCTTGACCAAGAAGAGACATTTGTGGACTGTGCATAAAAACTGTCCTTCAACTCTGGGGACCGTGGTAAGTGGTAGCAGTGACAGAGCAGTGCACGTGGGATTTGGCAGCCCTGGGTGCACAACCTGCTTCAGGATGTACTGTCCCACCTGCTACAGCTCTGGCTCCCTTGTAGTTGAGTGGAACTAACAATGAACTGGTGGCAAAGGTATTTTGGGCAGAGGTGCAGGGAAGTTAACCAAGTGCCCTTCAGAAATGGTGACACGGAATCTGTGAGAGGTTGGGGTCTCGGTAGGGGTGGCAAAGCTTTTCAGAGACAACTAAAATCTTCTTGAGGCAAGGGCCCTTTTCTACAGCATCCTTAAGGCTCAGTTTTCCAGCAGTAAAGAACTTTCTCTGTGGTGACAGGTCCTGGGAAAAGTCCTTCCCTCCACAAGGCCATGGAGAAGTAATGGAAACCAGAGGGTCCTGCATTTTCTTGGGTTGCTGTGGATCATGGGAGCTTTGAGATGGGAAGCGGGTTCCTTGGCAGTTCATGCTTTTCCATTCTGGCTCAGGCTCCATGTCTGGCTTCAGGCTGGCTTTGTCTCCAAGGCCTAGAATCCACTGGTGTGGAGTGGGGGTGTGAACCAGGTCGGAAGCCTCTTGCCCTGCTAATTGGTTTGTGACCTTCTGCTTGGGTGTTTGGACTCCTGGCCACTCAGGCAGTGGGTCCTGGCAGCCTGCCAGTAGGTAGCATCAGGACAGCTGCCCCTTCCCTGCTGGGGCCCAGGGCTCAGCTGGCATCATAGAGGTTTGCTCCTGGGGCTGAGCACAATTCCTGGTTCTTATGGGGCCAGGGAAGGCAAGGTACTGGCAGTTTAATATTCAAGTGCTGATTATACCTGGCACATGGTAGGTGCTCTTTACATATTTGTGGCTGTTAATTGAAGTTGCCCCTTGCCAGGGTGCTGTGCTAAAAGTGGAACTTTCCTTTATTAATTCCTTTGCTCATTCATTCAGGAAACATCTCTGAGCAGAGGTCCAGGCTGGGTTCTGGTTTGGGAGTGGGAGAGTCAAAGCTAAAGGACACACAGCTCCTGCCTTGGAGGAGCTAGCAGACCACTGGTGTATGTGCAGGCATGAGATGCAAAGGGAAAACTGCAGCAGAGTAGGTCAGTGCTACATCTGGAGCATCTTGGGAGATTGTGGACATGGGAGGGGGAGTGTTGGGGCAGAGTGCTGAGGCCACAGCAGTGGCTGCAGAGATGAGGCAGGAGGGGAGGCCATGTTCTTTGCTAACTCAGGATGTGACTATGGCTCCTGTGGGCAGTTTCCCAAACCACACTTCTTGGGATGTTCATAGTGTTAAAAGCAGACGGCAAGGAGCCCAAAGCCTCAGGGCTGGTGGTTGGTGGCGGGATGTCCTGAGAGTGTTGGATGCCAAAGTCCTGCCCATGTACCAGGCCACCATCCAAATGACTGACCCACACCCTCAGGGCAGCTCTGGGCTGTGCGGGAGGGAAAGGGGCTCTGTCCTGTTGTGAAGAACAGCCAGAACAACTGGCATAGAGGAAAGTGAGGTATGTCTGCCGTGCCAAAGAAGCATGTCATTTTTTTGCTAGCAACTGGTCAAGAGAGATGTATGCCAAGTGTTCTGAGATCTGGGCTTTGGGCAGAGTACTCACTAAATGCTTCTGGCAGCTTCTTCTAATCTTCTGGGTCCCGGGGTTGGGTCACGTGGTATAATTCAGCTTATCAGATACTTGGGGTCCTCAGCAGCATTGATTGGGCATTTGGTGTATAGATCTGACCAGCTGTATGCAGCTACACGCCTGTGGGGCATTTCCTTGTTCAGAGGATGTCTAATGCCAGCTCCACAGATTTCTGGGGGATTCCAGTTTGGGTGGGTGTATAAAATAGTACAATTCTTTTAGAAAGTTCTTTAGCAATACAGGGCAGACATCTTCTTACATGACTGGTTAAGAGCATTGGTTCTTGCATTAGAGAGACGTGTTTGAAGTTCAGCTCTGCTAATAACTAGCAGTGTGACCAAGGGCAGTGACAACTTCTTGGAGTCTCAGTTAGTTCTATAAAATAGAGCTCATAATACCTGGCTCCCAAGATTTCCTGCAAGGACTAAATGAAATGGTATATGTAAAGTGCTTAGCACATAGTTCACAGCTAAAGGTAGTTGTTAATTCCATTTCTTATAATGATATAAAATGAGAGAAAGCTTGGAGGATTAGATATTTACCCTGGCATTTATCATATGAATGAAAACCTGGAAACAATCTAAAGATCTAATATGGGGCACAGGGTCAGGCAGACTCATTAGTCCCACTCATTAGGAGACAAGGTGTGTAGTCAAACAAGCTCAGCTGGGCAGGTGTCATGCCCAGTCCCCATCAGACCCATTGCTACCTGCAAGTGCCTTGACCTAGGACTCAGAGGACAGCCTGCATCTGGGTTGTGAAGATTAACCAGCTGGCAAATGCATAAAATAATCTCCCTCCATATTCTCAGCCACTGGCTGCCACCTCCTAGTAGGGAACAAATGGCAGCCTGCCTGGTAGAAGGAGGCACCTGGGGGTCAGCATGGTCACCCCAGCCTTGCCTTAGTCCAGAGGGGGCAGGCAGTTCTGATCGAAGTGTAGCATTTCCAAGCTGGCTATTGGCTCTAAGCATTAAGATGAATGGGAAATTCCCTGGAATATGGAAAAGCCAAAAGGGAAAAATTTGGGGCCTGGAAGCCAGGTCGGTTTCAGCAGGAAACCACCAAGGCTCACCTTTAACGGGCAGGGAGCTGTGAGCCTCCCTCACCACCACGGCAGCCACGTTCTCACTAGTCAGAGTGGCACACAGGCATAATTAGGTTGTGAACAAAAACCCTGACTGGTGGTGAAGAAAGGATGTACCTTGTTCTGGCCCGGAGACCTTAGACAAGTTTTGGAAAGTTTCTCCCTGAGCCTCAGTTTCTCTATCTGCTAAGCGGGAAAGCCACCACCTGCCTTTTGTAATCTTGAGGATGTTTAGTAAATGTTATGTCTTCCTCCTTCCCCAGGTAGAAACACTCAGCTGCCTGTGGACACTGCTGTGTGGCAGAAGGAGGGCTGAGGGGCTCCAGTTTGCAATCCCCGGCTCTAGGGAAGCCAAGGGGAGGTGTGGTGAGCTGGGTGAGTCATCTTAGGACATGAAGCTATCCCTTTGGGGGAAAACCAGACTACAAATGGAAAAGCCAAGAGGGAATAACTTGGGGCCTGGAAGCCTGTCCCAATGAGGGCAGCAGAGTGCAACAGAGAATGAAACAGACCAGGACACTGAATCCTGGCCCTGCCACCTTCTAACAGGGGAACCCTGGGAACACTGTCAAATGCATTTCCTGAGCCTGAGCTCCCACTCTGTGGAAGGGGAAATGGCCAGCTTCAGAGGGCCTAGGACTTTGAGGGACTCCAGGGCACTTTGTGCTGACTGGCATCTAACCCAGACCTCTCCTGCCAGTTGAGAACACCCCATCCGCCCTGCTCTGAATAATAGTAGAAGAAGCTAATATTTCTTGAAGGAAAAGATTAACTACATGTTAATCAGCTAAAGGTAACTGAAAAACAGAGGGAATGTTTCCCCAGAAATCTTTTGGAAGTATCCTTCCAAATGCTAATAAATGGCCTCATGGGGCTCAGAAACCTATTCTTGATTCAGAAAGAACATTTTTTAAAAATATTTTTTTAGTTGTAGCTGGACACAATATCTTTATTCATTTTTATGTGGTGCTGAGGATTGAACCCAGTGCCTCACACATGCGAGGTAGGTGCTCTACCACTGAGCTATAGCCCCAGTACCAGAAAGAACTTTTGATGGAGGAAAATATCATTTTGGGCAAATGCAGGTCAAAGAAGAGTCACCATGTGAACTCCCAGTTAAGGCCTCCTTTTAAAAATGCTATGCAGCCTGCATGTAGCAGATTTTCAGAGATATTTTTTGAATGAATGGACACACAAATGCATAGATGGAGTGGCCAGAGAGCTGCAAGACACTGTCTGCTGAGTGTCATCAGATCCCAGGATGCTCAGTGGCTGCAGGGGATGCTGTTGTTCTTAATCAGCTCTGTCTTGCTGTCTGAAAAGTTAATTACTGGATGTGGATGTGCCATTGGAAGGGAGGGTTGGGACAAGAAGTTAGGAGGACTGAATCTCCCCCCTCAACTTCAAAGATCCCACATCCTCTTGTGCCGCCCCAATTCTCTAAGTTTCTGAGGCGCTTTGATATTCCCAGTGGAGATGAAGACCCAGCATACAAGAAAACCCAGGCCAGATGAAAGGCCAGGCCCCAAGTCCATGTACCCCACACAGAACCAGCCCCGACGAACGCCCATTAGGCTCTGGCTCCTGCCTGCCAGCTTGTCTTCTTGTCTCTCCCCACACAATGCCGACAGATTGGAGGAGTTGGTTTCCTTCCCCCCAGAACAATATTTTATGAGGAGTCTGTTTTATTAAAATATTTTCCGCTGGATGCTTCCTGTGTTTCAAGAAGTTGGTCTTGCCAGCTGGAGCTGATGACAGTTGAGAAAAACACATCCAAGTGCTGTTGTGACATGGCATTTGGAAGTGGAGGAGCACTATGGGGGGGGTGGCGGCATGGAAGAGATGCAGGAAAACACCCGGGTGGCACCAGAAATGTCACTGGCAGTATGATAGCACAGCCTCCCCTTCTCATTAAGAAAATGTGAAAAGAAACCCTTGCAATGATGTCCCCCAACGTACTGCTCTACCTCCTTATAGGCCCAAATTGCCATGCGGCATGGTCATAGAAGTCCTGTCATTTGTCTTGTATCACTGTTAGTTTGCCAATCCCCAAGTCAGCTCTCACTGGTTCATTTCAACCCCAGATACTTCCCAAGAAGAAATCCAATATGGGGCACATTGTGAAAGGAAACGAAAATCAATTTGGACACAGCGAAGGTGATATTGAGGGAAACGGCATCAATGCTGGCTCTGTGGTGCACACTAGAGTCATCTCTTCTCACTGGGTTTGGAAGAGCAACAGCATAAATAAATGTGGTTGGGAAGTCCAACCTGTAACCAGGGAGGAAAATATCATTTTGGGCAAATGCAGGTCACCAGGGAACTGGTCACAAAATGGGTGATGCTTTTCCACAGATGTGCAGTGTGGTTGGTCTGGGATGTTTTATGCAACATAAGGATAGCCTGGGTTACACTATCCACAGGCCCATAACCTGTGTCCCAACAGAGTGTCTAAAAGATTTAGTTTGGTTTTTAAGAGATGACATTAAGGATAAGTGGTTAGTTTCATCCCTCTCAGAAATCTTTAGGGCCTGAGGAACTCTAGAGCTATGCAGCATTCTCTCCACGAGGGGGCAATCACAGCCCATAGCCAGAGCCAGCCTCCACATTCCCACCAGCCTATTGTGCAGAGGATAAGTTAAATCTACACCCAACTTTGGGAGACCTCTCCCGGAAATTTCACACAACCAAGCATCTACACACATGCACGTGTGCATGCACATGCACACACACACATATACACTCTCTCATCCCTGAGCTCTGGCTATCCAGGTAGGTTGGTTTTATAAAGACATGGGAGTCTCAAGTGGTATCTGATTGTAAACCAGGGAATTCTGGGAAAGGAAGTGCCCCATAACCTGGTTTAGGCCACAGCTTGACATTTCAGAATTGTTTCTTCCTTTTGGTTCCAAATAGGGCCAGGACCTGGCATCTCCCTAACTTCTTTCCCTGGGAATTTTTCTGCAAGCAGACCAGACAGGAGGAACATTCCCCTTCTTACTCAAAGGCCTAAATTTTCTGATTTCTCCAATCCCAGGTCAAGACGAGATCATGCTCTTCCTAAGACACTGCAGGAAGCTGGTGTGGAGCAGCTAAGGTGGTTGGGCAAAGCCCATGGGCTGTGAACCCTGTGGACAAAGGGAAGCAGCATCTTCTCTAGAAAGCTCTGGAGTCAGGTTGTCTGGAGCTTCTGGCTTTGACCTAATTCAGGTAACTCAGCCTCTGGCCGTGGCTTGTATCCTGCCTCACTTGTTCACCAGGTAACCCAAGCCAGCCTTGGGTTGTGGTCTGAAGGGAGGTGGCGAGGAAAAGCCATGACATCTTAACACTGTGGCCCAGGGGAGCAAAGGGGCCTGGTGAGGTGGAGCAGCAAGTGAGGAAGACTTGCAAACAAATTTGAGCCACAGAGATCTTCAGCACCACCATGTCTGAGGGCATGGCCTTGTTAAACAGTTGGCCTTGCCACCTAGGTTGTTGAACTTTACCTGTGGACCTGACATATTCTGCGTATAATTCTAGACCTTCTTTGGAGCTTAGTGCCCTTTGGGCCTCACTCACCCAGCCCAGGTGCTTGGTTCCCTGGCCTCTGGGGTCTCTCACTGATCCAACTGAAAGGAGCAGAAGGAACCAACTGAAGCTAACACTAAAGGCCCAGCCCTGCTTCTCATAGACCTCTTGGTGAAACAATTGCTTGGGGCACCAGGGAAACCTCAAGAGGCCAGGGTGGCACTCTTGGGCACCCAAAGCACTGCTCTAACTGGGTTTCTGCAGACCGAAGGAGGAAAGCCATGGTACTTACTGCTCAGGGCTTGAGACAGATGTCCGCCGGCCTTCCACAGCAATGTTGCTCTTTGGTCTCTTGACAACATGTGGACGGGGTGGGCGCACCTAGGAGGGGCACAGGAAAAGCCCAAGAAGAAATAAGTTGGGAAAGCCACACAGGGACATTTTGAAGATTTGGACAAGCAACCCCAAAAGAAATGTGTAGGTATTTTTAAGGTACAGGCTATAAAAGTCCCACAGTGTCAAGTGCAGCAGATAGATACATTTGGAAAGGTTCTCCTTATCTACAAGACGGGAACAGTCCCACTAGCCTCTTTGCAGGGCTGCAGTGAGGGTACATCAATGAGATGATGTACATAAGGGACCCAGCAATGAGGCCCTCATCCTTGATAAATCTCTTGCCCTCCTGTTATCCGGAAACCAGTGTGTAAGCAGAGATGTTTCATCAGACTTATTTCTGGGGAATACATGTGTATTTTGTTCATTTTACAACTCAATTACAGGATGCTTCTTTTCTTCTCTCTATGGGAGAGACAATTAAAGACATCCTTTTGCTTCCCAGGGCACCCCTGTACCAGCCTCCAGCGGGGTTCAGCTGAGGTATGGCCACCCTCACAGCACAGATCTGGCCCAAGGGTGATGGGGGTGTACTGGGGAGTGGACAGCTTCTCAAGCCTATAGGTGCCACTGAAGTGACAAGCTGGGGTATCCCGACCTGCCATATCTGAAAGCCAAGATGAGCACCCATGGAAAAAGACGCTCCTCTCAAAAACAAACAAACAAGGATGCTTCTCTCCCCCACCAGAGCGTGTGGTAGGGGTCAGGCTGAGAGTTTGTAGGTTTGCTCAAAAGAAGACTCATTTAGTCCAATCAACTTTACATGGCTATACCACCATCTCTGACCATTTCCAATGTCAGAGAGACAGGGAGAGAACCAAGCTAAGAAAGTGCCCAGTGAATTTCACTACCAATAAAGCCAAGTACTGTGGCTGGGCAGGGGGCTTGCTTTCCCTGTAGACACGATGCCACAAGTGCCAAATTCCACCGACAACAGAGAAGGAGAGTTTGTGCACACTCCTCTTCCTGCTTGCCCTTTTACCTGAACACCCCTACTCTCAACAATTTGTGGGTGACACAGAACAATGGCTAAGGAACAAGATTACAGAAGTTGGCTGCATACAAGATGAATCATAATAGAGTCTCATCAAGCCCTCACATCTGTGCATGTATCATCTAATGAAAGTTTTTCCTGCGAAATGGTCAATCTGATCTTAGCTTTGTTTGGCAAATCAGAGATGTGGTAAAAACCAAATGTGTTCCACCAAACATGCTCTGTTTCCTTCCACGGGGCTGCTGTGAAGACTCAAGAATGGGGGACAGTGTGGGCTCCATAAATGCTAGTCCTGCTTTGCTGTGACCTCGATATTCCCTTCTTATCAATAACAAAAGAAATAAGGGGAGGTGCCTCTGAATTAGAGGATGAAATTTAGGATTATCTTTCCTTCCTAGCATCCTGCATAGTGCTTGGTATGCAATGGAAGCTCAATGAGATTTTTAGAAACACATGAAGGTTGGCACTTCGAATCTAAGAGGCACATAATACTGTCACTATTATTGTTATCAGAATGGTGCCTGTAGACGTTCAGTCAACATGTGCTGAATAAATGAATGGGTATACCCACCCCGCATTCTAACTCTGAGCTGGTTTCCCTGGCCAGACTCCCCTGGCAGCTTTAAACAGGGTTCCTGGCTGGAAAAATTCCCCAGACCTCCCCTGACAAAGGCAAGACTGCAGCTGGGGTGGAGGAGCTGCTCTGCCCCTTCCCTGGGGGTCCTGGGGCACTGGGTTCAGGAAAGGTCAGACATTAAGGCCTGTCGGCGCATCCTGCACAGGGCTGCTCCTTGCTATAATAAAGGCGGGTTAAGAATGTGAACTTGTGGCTGAAATGGGGGGATTAAGTTTGTGGCAACTTCAACTGAACTTGCAACGTGGTGAAACATGGGGAAAAAGAACAACAGAGCTAATTAGACGAGCTGAGCTGTCAGAGTGCTGCTGAATGGCTCAGCGCCAACAAACAAAAGGAATGGGTTGGCAATCAGCAGGATCGATGGAGGAGACTGCTTCATTAGGGATGATAAAACAGACGGGGGTGGGGGAGGGAGAGAAAGACACAACGGACCAGAGACAGTCACCCTGGTGGTTACAACCCAACCGGAGCCACACACACACCTAACTGGTGTGGACAAAGCCACACACAAAATTATCCTCACACCCACCTAGATACGCAGAAGCTTCAGGACTCCAACATAAACACAATCTCATAGACACACACAGAGGCATGCACAAGGGGTGAAGGCCCACAGAGGAATCAAGTGTGCGCTGCGAGCGCGCGCGCGCGCGCACACACACACGCACACACACACACACACACACACACACACACACACGCAGCGGCAGACCACGACCAGGCAAGGAAACACACAGACAAAATGGTTTAATTAAGCCTGAATCACAAGACGATGCAGACAACTCCCGTCATTTCAGCAACTGCATACCTCTTCCTGGAGTGCTTAGGAAGGGTGGGGGCTGGGAAAGAGGAGAAAACCACACGCACACACTAGCACACACTACGGGGGCGGCCCCACCACTGCCGGGATCCCAGCGGCGCCAGGGGAGAAAATGCTAAACAGGGATTTCCAGCATGGTTCAAGGGGGACTGGAGGGGAAAGTTGGGAAGCTCGCCAAATTCCCCACTGGATTTAAAACCTGAGAAATCTAAGTCGGCAGGGTTAAATGTGTATTGAATACAAAAGCACCGAGTATATTTGATTTTAATGGTGAGCAAGAAATAATAAATACAGAGCTTATAAAGTGCTTTGCATGTGGGCTGACCACAGCCTGCCTCTGCCCGGAGAGCGCAGCCACTGCCCTTGGTCCACCAGCTACATGCACCATTTTTTTCCTGCTCTTTGTTTTTTCTTCTTTTTAAGAAGCAACCCATATCCTGTGGTCACAGCTGAACTCCAGCCACAGGTGCTGGGCTACAAAGCACCTGCCAGAAATTTCGGATGAGGGCTAGCCCCCCACGCTCCCACCACCGGGGCTAGCAGCTGCACTTCTGCTGGGGATGTTTACAACTAAGTGATACCACAAAGCCTGGCTGGGGCCAATGGCTCCCAACTTGGGGGTTTCAGGCCATCTTCTTCAAGGCTCTTGAAGTGTTCCATACTCCAGATCTCCCCAGTTCCCACCTACTGGGTAATGGTGTCCTCTGGAAATTTGCACAAATGCATTGAGGGTGAACAGTTCCCACTACCTGGAATCTTGGAGCCCAGAAAGCATGGACCTTATCTACGACTCTCAGTGGCCTTGGTAGGCATTAATTTTTTTTTTTTCCTTTATTTTATTTATTTTTATGTGGTGCAGAGGATCGAACCCAGGGTCTCGCACATGCTAGGCGAGCACTCTACTGCTGAGCTACAACCCCAGCCTCTAGGCATTAAGTTTTTGGGGATGGATATGCCACTTGATGCCAGGCAATGTGTTAGGAACCCTTAGTATATGATCTCATAACCCTCACCACGTGGGCATGATAAACTCATTTTATAGATCATCCAACCAAAGCTTCGAGCAGGTAGGGTCTTGTCTAAGGTCATACAGTCAGGAAGTAGCCATACTGTGCTTCAAGTGAGGGTGGGCCTCTCTGACTTCTAGGGGGAGCTGCTCCCCCTAGGCCTCTGCTTCCTGAGCATACCAGGACCCAGGGCAGGGATGGCCTGAGTGCCAGGCTTGGTGCCTCTCTCAGTAAGCCAGGGGCAGAGGTAGTTGCCACTCAGGCTTCTCTATTCTCTAAGACCTCAGTTACCAGTAGAGATGGCCAGGCACCCCCTTATCTGGGCAAGTCTCCATACTGGTGAGATGACACAGAGTCCATGTCAGCTGTCTCCAATGTTTGAGTTTTTCCAGAGGCAGCACTTCTGTCCTGAGTCATACTGATTCTCTGCCTGCCTTGGAGCCGGGGCCTCTAGGGATTCTGAGAGCCACCCATGGCTGACTTTGGCTTCAGGGGAGGCTGTCAAGAGGGGAACAGAAGAGGCCAGCCTGGCTTCAAATGCCAGCATGGCCTCCTATCATCTCTGTGGTCTTGGCTACAAATTGGGGAAATGGCATGTGCCTCCTGTGGGCTGTAATAAGGACAGACGAGACACAAAAAATGCAAATGCCTAGCGTAGTTCTAGGCACAATAAAGGGCACCCTATCAAGGTAAGTTCCCCTCACCTCTGTATTGGCCAGGACATAACGCTGCCCTAAGATCCCACAGGAAGCCCAGCTAGTTATTGATTTTTTTTTTCTTAGTTGAAAGCTCTGCCTCTGTACTTTATAGTTAAGTCCATTTTGGTTACTGTGGATATGGAGGTTCTAGTGAGTTTGGGATGTTGAAAAGATTATGAGTTCTAGGGCTTGGTGACCCTTGCAAAGGACTTAGTTAGGTTGCTTAGCATCTGTTTTCTAATCTCTAAAATGGGTGGTGACAACACCTACTTCACAGAGCTACTATGAGGCTCAACCAGGATGAGGTACCTAAAAATGATTTGCTGGCTGCAAAATCCTGGACTTTTCAAAACTAGGTCATTCCTGGTCCAGTGCTGTGGGGCACACCTGTCTCCCAGGAGTCTGAGACAGGAGGATCATAGGTTCCAGGTCAGCCTGGGCAACTCAGTGAGACCCAGGCACAAAATAAAAAATAAAAAGGGCTGTGGATGTAGCTCAATGGTAGAGTACCCCTGGATTCAATCCCTATGAACCCTTCCTCCCAAAAAAAGAAGTTGTAGGATGTACCATTCTGTGCCAGGCCCTGTGCAGGATGCTCTACAAATGTCATCCACATTCATTCTCACAGAGAACTTTCATGAATAAGGGCCTCTTACAGAGAGAAGTGAGGCTCAGAGACCTTCAGTTCTTGCCCAAAGCCACACAGCTTCAATATCCCAGCCTAATTATGCTACAGTCCAAATGCATGTTGTTAATGACTGTACTGAAATGCTCAGTAAATTGCACAAGGTTTGATCCAGAAGGGGCTTCCTGTCCCTGATAGTGGGTCTTCTTGTTGCTTGTGGGTTTTTTTCCAATGACAATTAACAGAAACATTCTAGCCCCTTGGCAGAAGTGCTAATCGGGGTTTGGGCTAATCATGGTTTGATGGGGGCACAAGATGGATCCATCATCCTTCATGGCCAGAACTGTAGACTCACGACTATTATATATAAAGATGTCTAAATTCCATTCCTCCACCCCACCCACTAACTCCCATACACACTGAGGAAAGGGAGGAAACAGCACCAGAGAACATCTCCTACCCACCCAGAAAGCCACTACTCAGTGAATGCTGGGTGTGCACGCCAAGAATTCTAAATAAAAAGACGTATGGTTCGGCCTGGTCATCTGTATGACCTGGCCTCTGTGCCCTCAGAGGATGGATCTAGACATGTGCATTGAAAGGGTGGGAGGGGCTAGGGCCCCAGTTCATGGCATACTTTGATTGCAACCAACCCCTTTTGCCTGGCCATGGAGTGGGGGCTGCCTGGACAACAGCCTGGGAAACTCTTCCCACCAAATGGTCCTGACAGCTTTCCACCTTATGACACCTGTTAGCTATGGTGTTGCAGTGCGGACAAAGCCTGAAACTATAAGGGAAAACAACCCAGTGTGCTCAACACGTGACCCACACTATATATCACCTCATGACATTTTTCTTTAACACACGCAGATGGGCCTCTCTCCCCTCCTGCCTGTTCCCAGGTATTGGTGGGCTTGTCACGCTTTGTCTCGCTCTTCCCCACTTACTCGGCACTTGTCATGGGAAGGCAGCTCTCCATGAGGCCTGGCAGGGGAGCAGTACCTGTCTCCATCCAAGCGTGCTCCATTCTCTGGCTGTAGCCTCCTCCCCAGGGGAGGGACATCAGATGCTGGCACAAATGAGACCCCTGCTGCTAGACTTTTGGCTTCCTTTGTGAGGAAGAAGCATCCGGAGCAGGGTTTAAAGCTCATTGGCTAGAAACAGGCCTTGCCCTGTGCCATTTACTCAAATGATGCACACAGCACCCCGCTACCTATAGCTCCGACCTGGAAGTCGCTGAACTGATTCAGGAAAAGGAGAGAGAAGCCCAGAAAATGCGAGTTCAGATTCATGCCACACAGCAAAGGAAGCTGAAAAACCCGATTCCCGGTTTCCTTTTGCCAGGCAGGAGAGTCCGCACTCCCGGTTTAGTCAGGCGGGGAGGCTCAGGCAGTGTTAGGTGGGGAGGGCACAACACGGGCTACTCACGGGCCTCGAGCGCTGTATCTTGGGAGGCGGTGGTCGAGTGGGATGGAGTCTTTGTGGCTGCATTAAAGTGGAAACTTAAAACATCAGTACACACCGAGATAGGCTGACGCACTTTACACACGACCTGGGGAAAGTGTCCAGTCATTGAGACAGAGCCAGAGGGCCATCACGATGCCTTTTGCCCCTCACCCCCACTGTCTATTTTCTGAAGCTATCCCCTCTGCTGACTCTTTAGTTCTGGACTTGTCTCTGCTCTGGATTACTGTGGTCATCTTCTAACAGGGCCCCTTGCTCTGATCTCCAGTTTAGGTTGTGGTGGTGGTGGGGACCTTCTAAACTGCCATATGATCATGTCACACCCAGTTTCAAAACCTCAATGCCTCTCCTGTACTTGAATGACAGCTCAAGGCCCTGGGCCAGCAAGACTTGCTGCTATGCCCTACATCATAGAACTTCCCCAACCTTTACCTGCCCACCCTAAGTAGACTCTCAAGTAGTACTGGGCTCTCATGCCTCCCTCCAGCCTGCCCCTTGGGTGCAACAACCTACCCTGTCCTGATTGGTCTGGTGAACACAAACTTGTCTTTCAAGACTGCCTCGGGCTGAGGATGTGGCTCTAGCGGTAGCATGCTCGCTTGGCATGCACGGGGCGCTGGGTTTGATCCTCAGCACCACATAAAAATTAAATAAAGATGTTGTGTCCACCGAAAACTAAAAAAAAAAAAAAGAAATTAAAAAATTTTCTCTCTCTCTTAAAAAAAAAAAAAGACTCTGCCTGGACCAGGTCGTATCTCCAGGACTCCCACTGCCCTGTGTTTCCTGCTACTTGGGACTTACTGTGAAGGTTCTCACCCCTACATTCACACTAACTTTTAAACATAGGGATTTGTCCCTGTGCCTGAAGGAGGTTGTATGAGATGTGGGGAAGAAATACTTGGCTCAATAATTGCTTGATGGATAAACACAATTTGCATAAAATGCTTGGCTTTTAAAATCAGTATCTGAATCAAAAGTAATAGAGCCAGGCGTGGTGGCACACACCTGTAATCCCAGTGACTCAGGAGGCTGAGGCGAGGATTGAGTTCAAAGCCAGCCTCAGCAATGGTGAGGCGCTAAGCAACTCAGTGAAACCCTGTCTCTAAATAAAATGCAAAATAAGGCTGTGGATGTGGCTCAGTGTTTGAGTGCCCCTAAATTCAATCCCCAGTACCACAAAAAGAAAAAAAAAAAAAAAAAAAGCAAAGCAAAGTAACAGAACACAGACTTCTCGGTTCTACCCTCTTTTCATCTTGAAAGCCACACTTTTCAAAAGCCCCTCCCAAGATGGATGTGGGAAATGGGTAGGCAGAGTAAGGACAGTAAAAATCTACACAAGGCCAAGACCAGAGACCACCCTCCTCCTCAGCAAACCCTGCTGGCTTCTAGTTGGTCCCTGTCCAGTCCCTCAATCCTCAAAGATGCATCATTTGACAGTGACTCGGCCTGCACGAGCCAACACAGGGGCCATGACCCTGTGTGGTGAGTATGAATGAAATGTGCTGTAAGTGTGCAATACGTTGTACTAGATTCCACAGACTTAGTGTGAGAAAACATCAAATTTTTCAATATTTTTTTTTTATGGCTGGGTGTGGGGGCACACACCTATAATCCCAGTGACTTTGGAGGCTGAGGCAGGAGAATCATGAGTTTTAAGGCCAGCCTCAGCAAGACCCTATCTCAAAATAAAAATCAGAAAAGCCTGGGGAAGTAGCTTGGTGGCAAAGCACTCAAAACACCCTGGGTTTTGTCTTTAGTATTCCCCTCCTCAATATTGATTGCATGTTGAAATGATCATATTTTGAATACACTTGGCTAAATGTATTACTAAAACCAATCTGACCTGTTTCTTTTCATATATATATATATATATATATATATATATATATATATATATATATATATATATGGTGTAGATGGACACAATGCCTTTATTTTATTTATTTATTTTTATGTGGTCCTGAGGATCAAACCCAGTGCCTCACACATGCTGCGAGCGCTCTACCACTGAGCCACAATCCCAGCCCCTCTTTTTACCTAAACATCTTTACTAAAACCTTCAGAATCCTATGAGTATCTCATGCATGTAGATCACATTACATTTTTCTCTGCCAGTGCTGACTTAGGGCCACTTGGCAAGGATGAATCTTTGGATCTCAAACATGCCTTGGAATTCATTTTCTTTTTCTTTTTTTTTTTTTTTTAGAGAGAGAGAGAGACAGACAGACAGACAGAAAGAAAGAGAGAATTTTTAAGATTTATTTTTTAGTTTTCGGTGGACACAACATCTTTGTTTGTATGTGGTGCCGAGGATCGAACCCGGGCCGCACGCATGCCAGGTGAGCGCGCTACCACTTGAGCCACATCCCCAGCCCCGGAATTCATTTTCTGAATTCAACTCCTAGGAGGGCCCATGTCACAGGTGTACCTGGATCCTTGATGTCTAGCACAGGGCCTGCCAGAGTAGCCCCAGAGAAAAGTTGGTGGAGGGACTTGATGGAGGATTGGGATCTCTCATAGCACATGGGGAGTGTGTCTGGATGGAAATACACTGTGGCTTCCCAGTCTGCCATTAGTTGGGAGTGAGAACCAACCTGGCCCTTTCTTTAGTTGGTGGGTAGGGGATGCTCCCAGACAGATGGGCACAGCTGCCATGTTTCTTTCTCTCCATGGCTTTACAGGTAAAGTGTGGGGCAGAAGAGGACAGGACCCCCAGGTCACTTTGCTCAGAAGGAAGAGGGCAGGGAGAGAGGAGCTCATCCTTCCACACATGTACAAGATGCTGCCCCCAGGCCAGACTGTCCCCTGCTTCTCTTAGACTTGGCTAGTATGCTTCTGGGTGACTATCTTTTCTAATCCCACTGTTACAATGCTTGACACCTCTGGCCTGGGGTACTTTCATCCCTGCTGAGTGACAGTGTAATAGAGCGCTCAGGAGGTAGCCTTTGAGGTCAGACAGTCTTGGATGGAACCCTAGTTGCCTCACCTATTCTGATTTACCCTGTGCCCATGATTTGACCACACTGAGCCTTACTGTGATAATCTATGAAGTGCAGGTAATGGTGGGTGATGGCACCCACCCACTGTTAGAAAGGTTCATTGAGACGATGCAGGTCAGGTTCTTGCAAGGTGCCACCACTAGACTTTAGCAACTGTCACCATTAGCAGGTTTCCTCCCCTCTCCAATGTATCTTCTACACCTGTTTCCAGAGTGAACTTAAAGAAAAAATATGCCCAATCATGCCACTTGCCAGCTTAAGTCACCTTAGTGGAGGGCCACATCTTCCAAGTTGTCTGTTAAGAAACACTGTCCCAGTGAAGGGACAACGGGGCTTCCCCAGCCAGACAGGCCTGGGAGGTGCTTTCTGCTGTCTGACTCCTTTTGGAGAGTTATAATGCCTGTTAGCACAGCATGGCTGCCAATTCTTACAATTGAAAAAAAACAAAAGAAAACAACAAAACCCCACCCAAGCTAGGCAAAAACCTTTTAAAAAGTCCTGTATCACAAATTTATTCGAACAGACTATAATGCCCACTAATATCTCCTGGAAAATGAGGCCTGTGTATTCAAAGCCCTACCCACCTACCTCTACAATCTGACATTTGACCTTCCCCACCAATGCACAGCACACAGATTGTCACTATTGGTTCCTTCACTTCTCTACTCAAGCCAGAGTCTAGAATAGTTCTCAGTACAGCACAGGGGCTCAGCAAAGGACTTTTGCTTAAACTTTCTGCAGAAACTCAACAAATGTTACTTTTTTCAGATTTGTAAGTAACTTATTTCCTGTGATTGTCTGCGGGAAGTGCTGGTTCTTTTGCAATGGAACTTATAAATGGCAACAGGACAGCAGCTTCTTGGCTATGTGCAGCCTAGGAGCTGATGGAGTAAGCTGGGGGGTTACTGACGCCGTGAAGGGTAATGTGGTAAGATGTCCTGGCGCAACTGGATAGATAAAAAACAAACCTAACAAAAGCAATCAAGACAGGAAGCCATTCTGGCTCTATCTGATGTCTGGGGGGTTTTCCTTACAGGCCATCAGCACTGAGGGATCTAGTCCCCAGGGTAACAGGGAAAGGGAGATGTGTTCACTAATACAAATTCTCTGATGCTGGACGTGGATGCCATCCCAGGGTGGCCACTAGGGGGAGAAAGGTGAACTCCTAGTGTGGGGGGTGTGCATTAAAGACCCCCAAATTGAGGGAAGGAAGGGGATGGCTGCAGTAATTATGAGGGCACCCTGTCATGGGGTGTGTGGGTCCTGGGCACCAATGTTGAGACTGGGGACAAGTAGGCATTTGGAGGATGAGCAGGAATTAGGCCATGAATGAGGGGGAACAGCTTTAGGTTTGAAAGCTAGAATGTGTGCTTTGTGGAGAGTCCCCTTGCTCCCACCAGAGGCCAGTCTTCAGGCTTAGTTTGTTGCTGGGTGACTTTGGCAAATCCCAGGCCTCACTGTCTTCATCTGTGAGCACCATCACGAGGGCCCCACTGTAGGGATGCTGGATATTAGGGTACTTCACAGAGAGTCAGTGGACATGGGGACAGGAGGAAGCCTCTGCCTCCTGGCAGTGAGGGAGTGACAGAGCTGCCTGGCCATGGTGGCTGCAATTTCCCAAATATGCTGGGGTAGATGCCAGTTGGGGACAAAGACAGTGGTGAGAGGAGAGCTGAGAACTCTGGGGAGAATGAGGACAGGCCATGGCAGGGAGTGGTGGTAAGCTGGATAGGAAATGGGGAGAGAAGCCAGGGAAGACCAACTCAGAAAAATACCCTTTTCTAGAAAATAGCCCCAGCACTCAGGAAGCTGCACGCAGGACAAAGTGAATGCAGGCACTGCAGAGTGGGCTGGGACTCTGTGATGTCATCATCACCAGGTAGGCACCCCCCACATACACACTGCAGCTCCATAGAATATTCTGTACATTTACAGACTATGGACCACAGCTGGCCCCCCTGCTTGTTCATCTACTTGGCCCCAGTGGCAGAGAGCTTGTTCTTTCTGGTAATGATCCACATA